TTTTTTTTTTTTTTTTTTTTTGAGAACAGGCGAAAACTAATGCGCGCGCGGATGTCATCCATAAAATTAAATCGGTGTAGCCTTATAATACTGTAAAACATTGCCATTGCTGATTTCTTTGTTTGGCCATTTTGAATTTATAATAAAGTCATTAGCGACATCTTGAATTAGCGAATCAGCTCTCTCGCTAAATTCGCGAAAAAGACATGTTTTACAGTATATATATTGTATACTGTGCTAGTGTTCTCATGTATAACGCTAGGTCCGAATCTCTATGACATCTATCATATGTTTATTTGACTGTCAATGTTGACTTGACAACACAGACATGCGCACTAGCTACTAATGCATAAGGTCATAGCTCATCTCATATTTTTTCTCCGTTTTACTTTGTCCGTATCAATTATGTCTCTTTAGTCCAATGTTATCAAAAAATACATAACAGGGAAAATGTTGTATCCACATTTTGTAAGAAAAAATGTACTTATATGTATATGTATGCAGTATTTGACACACAGTTCATGCGACATTGAAATAACAAAACATTTCTTTGTCAAAACAAATAACTTTGAAAATCAAAATTAACAGGAATTTGTCTCAGCTATTAGAACACAATTATAGATCTTATATAATACTATTTCAAAACGCACTTCAAAGACAACACACTTCTAGATGATTATTTCTGTGAAATAATACATAATTATGCATGTGATCTTATTCATGATATTGCAAAGAAAGAAACAATTCAAACATTGCCACAAATTTTTCTTTCAAAATTGAAACATCAGTTATTTTCCCAATGAACTTTAAATATGTCAAAATATGTGAGTGGTAAACTTATAAACAATATTTAATAATTATACTACTCTAAGTAGTCATAGCTCATCAATGAATACCATCTCATTACTATGCTTGTATCAAAGCTCCACGTGGTAAATTGTATAGAATCAGTGATGAGTGTGACAGTATTTGATAGTGTGGACATAATTTTGACTGGAGAAATATGTTTACTATTTCATCAGTTCAAATTAGACACCAATGTTTTTTTGTAGACAGCTTTTCCATTCCTGTTTAAATCTTAAAACTTGATTGCATTCAAAATTAATGTATCTATGAAGAATCTGGTATTGGAAAGCCCTCAATGTTAAAGAGATTGTAGTTTTGAATGGCAATACAAATGTATTACAGAAATAATTCAAATATTTGTGAAATATCATAAAGTTCAATTTATTTATTTCATGGCATAGTTCAGTTACATTATTACATCTAGTCACATATACTTGAACTTTGATTTATCATTGATCGTAACCGATAAAGTGTTGACATACGCCTGATGAGTCAATATTGTCTGTCTAAAACCGAGATAAGTAAGTGATTGTCGCCACGAGAGGGCGCGATGTACGACGATAATGGAATAATTTACATGGTACACTTTTTAACGAAATTCATTCATTGACAATACGGTGGCTGGTTAAGCTTAATCGTGCATGTCATTTACTTGAACAATGTGCTACTTTTATTGTTTTACCTTTGCAATGACAAAAATGAATGAAACAACGATTTTTAAAAATGTTTTTATCTTTTTTTTCTAGACAGGTTGTGTTCATGCCAGTATTTGTATTAATATATTGTAGTTGTTTGAAAATAAGTCCAAAAGAAAGATCGTGGATACATGGCTTTCACCAGTTTATCACAGGGAGCCTCACTGCAGTCTGTACAAATTACTCCGCCTGGGTCCATAGGTGATGAGGAGGGATATGATCCGAACATATTTGTCACGAGCCCTACAAATTATATATGTCATGAATGTCAGAAAGTGTTACGATCACCCAGGCAACTAGAGTGTGGTCACCGATATTGTAATAACTGCTGTGAAAAATTACTTAGGTGAGTATGAACAACAACAATTTTCAAGTCTGTAGTACGGATTTAAGACCAAAATTACAAATTCATTTTATGAATATATTATAACTTATATATAATTAAAGATAATTGTTGGTACATGGAATGTTGATAATTATTGGTCTCATTTCATTCACAGCCAATCAGACACTCCTGTTTGTCAAGTTGAGGACTGTAAGGAACCTATAGATCGTAAAGAAATAGTCAGAGATCATGCAGCAAGACGGGATATTATGTTATTACCAGTTTTTTGCGAATTTCGAAACAAAGGTTGCAATACTAAAGTAAAACTCAACAGTTTACAAAATCATCTTCAAGAATGCGACTTTACTGTTATTGACTGTATTCATAAAAAGATGGGATGTACTTTTCAAGTTGAAAGAAGGTTTTTAGTGGAACATTTAGCATCACAGTGCCTCTATAGTACGGTAAAATGTAAACATTGTGAAGAACAGTTCTCAAAAGACGAGTTAGATGTAAGTATTATCACATTTATTAAAACAACGGAAGGTTACCAACACAACATTATAAATGTGTTATATCACTATGGTACTATATACTGTTATTCTCAGAAAAAACACACATTATATTAGTTTATTGACACTCCAAGATGAGGGTAAACTTCTACAATTCAATTCAATTCAATCACCGGTTACTGCTACTGATTCCTATTAATCACCTAGACGTCACTATGTTGTAGCTTTTGTGAACTGATTGTGTGAGTTGTACCAATGCCATTCGTATTTATGATAACCAGACATGAGAGGTTGTTTTATGTCACGTGGGAAGATCTATTGCATTGTAATGCGTTGTCTATGTGATACAGGTGTCAGTCATTTTGTGTTTATGTCCTATGTCATTTATAGTTTGTAATTATACACAGGAACACATTAGAAGATGTCCACAAGCACCAGAATCTTGTCCCAATGGATGTGGAGTCAAAGATATCCCAAGAATTAAGGTAAAAACAATAATTATATTATATTATATTATATTATATTATATTATATTATATTATATTATATTATATTATATTATATTATGGATTTCAGTTTGATTGGGGGGGTGCCTCCTCCACTGTCGTTGCTTAGTCTACGAGACAAAGATCACTTTTAAACAAGGGAGACTCGTCATTATGAGCCACTGATGTCTCATAGGTCGTGCCAGGTGTCCAGAACAATAAACATACCTTGCTCACTTGTCGCACCCATCATGATGGTCTCTTATTGTAATAAATGTAGTCAAGATCTAATGTACAATCAGTTATATGACTTGTCTGTATATTTGCTGTGAAATATTTCGATCAAAATTGTTATATGTGACAAACAGTGTGCTTTAAATATGCGGAGCCCAATACCCGCAACACGTGGCAAGACTATAATTAGACAAATTCCTTAAGATTCTAGATTGTTGTATCATTATTTGTATCTTCTGTTGTGCAGCTTGAGGAGCATATATTGGAATGTCCATTGCAACAACGTGAATGTAGCTTTCGTGGGTATGGATGTACTTATAAGGTATGTGAATGATATTGGAAACATTTGTTTATGACTGCGCTGGTAAATAATAATACATATAATAATATAATACATACAATAATATGTATTATTGGGTCTTGGAAAGATTGACAATATGTGATACATTCGTACTACAGGGACATGTGACTGATATCCAACATCATCTAAATACAGCATCCTCAGAACATATGCAAATGATTCTGAAGTCTCATGAGAAATTGGGGTTGAAGCACGCAGAACTTGACAGAAAATATTCAGAACTATACAACCAGAAAAGTATTGTCGATAACAAATTCAAACAACAATTGGAAGAGTTACAAGAAATCAGACAGAAAAATATGAAACTTGAAGAAAGAATCAAAGATTTACATGTAGGTATAAGCATAACGGAAGCTAATAAAATCTTTGTATTATTTGAAAAAACAAATGACATAATGTTGTTTGGCTGTTAATAACAAAATAAACTGTCTGGAGAGTAGTAGAATTCGAAAACAAATTTTAGGAATGCCCAATATACTAATGCATTCCATATATGATCCCTACGAAATAATAGGAAATAGAGCAAAGAGCAATGTATTCCATGGAGATAAATAGTAAGTTTAATATTATTTAAAAAAATATGCTTTTCGTAATTGTTTTGGTTTACAGAAAACCCTAGCAACACAGAATGACAAGATAATAAAACTGGAACATGATTTGAAAGAGAAAGCTTTGAAGACAGATGTAGAGAAAAACAGAACACTTGTATATGCTGTTCAGGAGAGTTGTGCAGAGTTAAAAACCCGAATGGACCAGATTGAAAGGCGACCAATGGTTAGATCTTCTAATGGTGCAAACTCCAAGGATGTCGGTAAGATATGACATTCAAAATGAGGGAAAAATTACAAAAATATATTAGACAGAAAACTATTTTTTGTCGTATTTTGAATGACGCACCAAGTTAATTATCCTTCTACTTACAGATGAGTTACGTAAACAGCTTGCACAAGTAGGTACACAGCTTGGTCTGCATGATGTAAGACTTGCAGAACAGAATCTACATTTCCAAGTGTTAGAAACAGCTTGTTATGATGGGATTCTGATATGGAAGATCAAAGACTTCGCAAGACGTAAACGTGAAGCATTGTCTGGAAGGACGTTATCACTTTACAGTCAACCATTCTATACCAGTAAATACGGCTATAAGATGTGTGCCAGGGTGTATTTAAATGGTGATGGTATGGGTAAAGGTACTCATATGTCATTATTCTTTGTTGTGATGAAAGGTGATTATGATTCCCTGTTACAGTGGCCATTCAGACAAAAGGTTAGTACAATTTGTCCCTTCATGAAAGTTACAGCAGTAACTGAAGCAATATAAATACTCACTGAAATTTTAATTTATGCATTGTAAATATACATGTATGTATATTGCGGGAAATGAACACGCATAGTATGTGTATATAGTATGTGTATATGCACTTAGAGGTGCATTAGTTAAGAATTGGAGAATACCGCCAAACACAAATTTTAAAACTTCACTTAATTAACTTAATTAATGTCATGTGAATATAAATTGATCGCTATTTAGTGCTATGTTATAAATTCGTTTCTATTTCATCGTTCAGTTTTGATAAATATCCGTTTTTGACATTTAATAATTCAATAATAACATTTAATAATTATAGAAATGTCGTCAACTGAGAACGTAACGGCAGTAAAAATTTGCATGCGGGGGCGACATCTTAAATCTAGATTCTCTGAAACGCTATTTCCTGCGTTGTGAGGAACACATTTCGGTGACACAAAGGGTTTCAGTTTGATTGGGGGTGCCCTTCCGGGTGCCGCCGCCACTGTCGTTGCCTGGTCTACGAGACAATGATCACTGTTAAACTAGAGAACTGGCCATTATGAGCCACTGTGTGTTTTAATGAATATGAAGAGCACAATACCCGCAACACGTAGCAAGACTATAATTAGACAAATTCCGTAAGATTCTAGATTGATGTATCATTATTTGTATCTTCTGTTGTGCTGATTGAGGAGCATATATTGGAATGTCCATTGCAACAACGTGAACACCTCACTTAATTAACTTAATTAATGTCATGTGAAGATAAATTGATGGCTGTTTCGTGCTATGTTATAAATTCGCTTCTATTTCATCGTTCAGTTTTGATAAATATCCGTTTTTGACATTTAATAATTATGGAAATGTCTTCAACTGAGAACTTCGGCTCGAACCGAGTGGGTCCAGTTACGTCTTATCTCTGTCTAAACACAACATCGAAAAACCTTATGTTAGCTTAAGAATTAACACATTTACTCACATTATTTTCTCTCATTAAATTCCTAAACATATTGGTTGTTTTTTGTAGGTCACCTTGGTACTCCTTGATCAAGCCACAGGTCGACGTAATCTCTCAGATACATTCAGACCAGATCCAACCAGTAGTAGCTTCAAGCAACCCACTGATGATATGAATGTAGCTTCTGGTTGTCCACTATTTGTCTCTCAGTCTGTATTGGAAACTCCAACTTACATCAAGAATGATACATTATACATCAAGGTGGCTGTTGATACATCGGATTTATATGGCCCATAACTATGAGTGGGAGGGGGGCGCGGAGAGTAGATATTTTGTCGCTATGTTAAATCAATTTATAACGCAGAGTTCTATTTTCTGTGCCCTCCTCCCAGTGTTCTTCAATTAATGTATAATTTTTCATCAAGGTAGTTGTTGATACATCGGATTTATAAAGAAATTCGACAACATCCAAACTGGGCAGTATGTTCGATTTAATGTCGTCAGTTGGAAAACAAGACAATGAATGCAAGATGATAAATTTATTAAGTGCGTCTCTTTATTTATTTATATTACAAAGCTTATCTTTTTATATGTCTTTTTAACTATTTTTTACAATAGTTGACATTGAGATTTTATCAATATAGATTGATACCGATTTACAAAGTTTGTTACTAACGTTTTATCACAAATAAAATATAACGAATTATGGGGCAGGAAAGCGGTTTTCAAACTCATGTAAGGATTAATACCTAGTAAATGTACGTAACGTACGTGCCTACGTTAATCTCACCTGTTGTTTGTTACCTCTGTGTTTTATGACAATGCATATACATGCCCCGATTGTGATAGGTGTAGTCAGTGGGGTACTTCTTCCCATTCTGATCTCGCTGACGAGGCCTAGTGCCTAGAGACCTCGTTTGTTGCTTTATGTAGATGCAATCGGTTTTTCATGGACAAGTTCACTAAAACGTGCGAAAAGAACAAACATAGCATTTGTATTATT